GCATAGCACACATCATTTTCTGTAAATTGGTTGTAACTCTCGGAAATACATGCCGGACGAATGTAATTTGTAAATGGTACTGGCCTAGACAACTTCATTAGCACAAAGTCGTTTAAATCAACCACATCATAAGCCTCATATCCTGGAGAAAAGTAAACTAAGGATACTGGTATGATGAGGTGGTTGGCCGAGAAATTCTGATTTGTATTACTTCCAAACATAACCCTTACATCTGCAAGTGCTCCAAAAACTAATCTGAAAAAAAAATGCCATTTTAAGAATTATTTCTAATACTGTAAAAAAACACATATACAAAATAACGGGGCAGTGACAAATTTTGTTTTTGTCGTCGTGTTTAGACGCATATTAAGACATGCCACATTTTAGTATGACCACTGGAGGCGCACAAAAAAAAAACCTATGTAGGCCCATATCTTGGATTACACTAGAGCAAAAGCGCCTCTTGTAGTCACAGCAGTCAATGCACTTCCTAAACGCGTACAGCACTTCTGCAAACGCAACTGTAAATGTTTTATATATATTATACTCTATTCTCAATCCAAGGGTTTTTACACTTAAATCTTGAATTCTTTTGTTTATTTAATTTCAATCATATTCTATACTTTCCAAATTATAATACAGTTAAAATATTTACAGTCTCAATTTCTAATCAAGTTTATAAAATCTTCAAACATTAAGTTACAGTTTTACCTCCGAATTTAACACTATTTTTAACGGTAACTGAATTTCTTGTATTTTAAATTACATTTTAACTGTATTTAAATGTTGTTTGGAGGAATTCTGCTGTGAACCTGCGAGTATCAGAAATCAGGTGATGAAATGTTTAGTTTTAAGAGAATGATTATTCATGTATCATTTCGTATTTTATGGTTTTATGTGAACGCACAGCAAAGCGACGTGCGCCACTAATTTCATTTTTTTAAAAATTTTTATTAATTACAAATGCCACGGTTTTGCTTCATTCAACTCACAGTCGCAAGGTGCATTCACACCGAATCAAAATTTTCAGATCGGAAGGGCTACAGAATTAATCAGAAATCGGATCAGATGTAAGAATAGGGGTGATGTGGTTCAGTGCATGTGGTTTCGAGTCGGAATCATTATAAATGCAGCTTTTCGCAATAGGAATGGACAATAGTAAAACAGCTATGGCTTCCGGTTTGAGCATTGCATTTGCATTTCAAGCGTACCGCGAATCAAGCTAATGTACAAGTTGTATAACGAAGGTTGACGTATGCAAGCAAGCTAAGAATACAATCATTTCTTTTAATTAGGTAATTTAGTAATACTCTTATTTTACTCAATTTAACAGAACAGAAAAAAAAAAACAAACAAACAAGCAGAGGAGCAGGGGCGTAGGCTGGTTTCAACCCGATGAGGTGAAAATTCAGAATTAAGAACTGGGGGTGAGAAAATTAAGGAAGCGGAACTAAATTTATATTCCAATGAAAACTTAATGGTCATTTTTAGTATTTTACCTCAGTGGAACTAAGTTGCTGCTATGCGGAAGAGGGTCAGATAACAAAGGAACTTTCCATTAATCATACGGTTTCATTTGCACAAAACAGAAACAATGGTCATAAACAGTAAGCATTTAATATACAAATTCTACTCAATATTAGCTACGTATTTCAATTGGCAGAATTTTGTAAGCTATCAAGATTTACATGACATAAGAAAACAAAATGGTACTTACGAAAAGCAATGTGCTGCTGAAATTACCCATAATTCATTGATTAGGGTACATCCACACATTTTTTTATTATACTCGAAGATGAGACCTTGCCATGGCCAGCTACCAGGCAGAGGTTCCGATCCACCGATTATCCTTTTGGCTGTCTCTTATACACATCTAGATGTGTATAATAGTCATATTAGTCCACGTGTGATAATGAAACAGAAAATAATGATGCGGAAATGTTGAGTTAGACAGTAGAACACTATTTATCTTCTATGGTCAAGAGATGGAAAATTGTTAGCCAGCAGAACACATCGGATGTTGTCAATGGAGTGGCCAGGGGAGTCCATCTCTTGACCATAGAAAACGCTCGGAGCTGAAACTCATTATCAAATTCAATACTCATATTTTAGGCCTTAATCGTGACATGGGTATTCTGAGCGATTACACATTCACACACACTTGACTTTTTTTCATACCACCGTATTCCTGTTTCATTACTTTATGTACACCTTGTTATATTCCATATTACTTGTATTATGCTATATTTAATTTTGGCTTCTGCATCTCTTTTGTATCTAGGCTTACCTAGTTTACTTTGTTTTTGTTTATTTTGTTAATGGTTTATTATTATTATTATTATTATTATTATTATTATTATTATTATTATTATTATTATGATACTATATTACATTATATCATTTACTGTACATAGCCTATATATGTATGTGCATTAGGCTTATATATTATTATTTTTTATCTGCATCATGGGCTATCGCTTCCACTTCTCGATATCAAAGTACTTTTTTTTTCTCTTTTGTGGTGCACCACCACTTTTATTTCATATATGTATATATATATATATATATATATATATATATATATATTTCATCATGATCTTTCTCTAATACGGTATGTTTCGTTTTAATACCTTGCAATAACGGTAATAACGAATTATCATTCCTTAACTTCAAATTTTTTTTTTCGGGTTCAACACTTGTTGATCTTTTTTCGTTGTTTTCTTAATTCGTATTCTCTCATGTGGTAATCAACCACCTTTATCAATTATTTAATTGACGAGTTATCACAAAATATTCGCCATTTTTAGTAACGATTATCATTGTGTACTCCGTTGTTAGTCTCCTTTTTTTCTTGGTTTTCTCAATATATTTTAAACTTTTATACCAAATAATTTGAAATAATAATAAAATAATAATATACAAATGACAGATATTGTAATATGATTGTAATATCGTAACATCCTCTTTCGTTTTTTTTAGTTTTTTTTTAAATAAAATAGTTCAAATATAATTGAATTTATAAATATACAATGCATTAAATTATCAATTTTATGTACCTTAAGCATTATAAAAAACCTAATGCATTCAGATTTTTTGCATTGGTCTTGAACATAAGTATTTTTGCACACAGGCTTATTCAACTCAGTTAAAATTTTTATCTTATAGATAGGAAAAACAGCAATTGAATATATTTGATTCTTAAATGCACAGTTACAACCGAAAAGAAGTTCTTTAAAAGAACTTCTGCTATTGTTTAATGTTTCGAAAATTTTATCAATATTTTTCCATAAAACGTCATTACGTATACATTCGAAGAATATGTGTTTCTCGTCTTCGATTACACAACAAATGTCACACTCATTACTTTTTTTTAGTTTCCACTTATAAGCTGTAAGTTAGTAGGAATTATTTTAATTAACATTCTATAATTTAGTTGTGCATATTTATTAATTTTTTTTTATTGTTTACTTTTTTAATCCAAACGTCACCCCACTTTATATCTACAGCGTTAAACATATTATTCCCTTTGTGTATAGCTTGAGGTGGAATGAATTTTGCATTAATAAACGTTGAATAAATATTTTTTGTTTTCATTTTAACAATGTTGTCAATTATATTACATTCATTGTCGATATTTACATGTATATTTTTATTATCATGATTCTTAATTATGTTTATCCAGTCCCTTGGAATGGCTTCAATTAGCGGAGCGTATTCGTTAAGCCAGTTTCCTTTAACACACAGTTTCTCTAAGATTTCAGCAGTTTTCTTTATGCGGTTAAAAATGATAATATCATATATTTGCTTAAACCCCGAGGCTATCCAATTTTTATAAAACAGAGATTTATTTTTATACACAATAGCCTTGTTTCCCCAAAGATTTTGCTTAATAACATATCAAAGTACTTTGTTTTACTCATTATCTCGCTCCCATTATATATCATTATCCCCATGTCTCCAATAATGTTTATCTCATTTAATCACCCTCCTTTATTTATTGCGAATGTTTATTGTTTTACAGTGGATCTGGTATTTGCCAACTTTTGTAATCAGTTACGCTGATGAAGTCTTGAGGACAAGACGAAATATTCGTTTCCTGGATAAATTATACTGTGTTCTGTTTAACTCAAAGTTTCCGCATCATTATTTTCTGTCTTATTTTCTGTTATATTATATGTTATATTATATGTATGTTATATATTAAAGGCACTAACAAAACAAACGCCAATTCCGCCCTCGCGACTTCCAGCACAAATATGGTATTCTTTAATATTAAGCAATGATCCTTGTAATTCTTTACATTTTTCCTTGCTAAATAGGTTGACAAGAATTTCGTGCATTGCCACAACTGGTTCTGCTCTCGATGGTGGAAGATCTAATGTAAAAAAAAAAAAAGGTTAGTGAGATAGGAGTGTCTCCTCAGGACTACATTCGTTGAGACTTACCTCTGGATTTTTCGTTAGCTGGCTAAGGGTGGGCGGAACACAGTATACGAAAACCGTCCTATCCTAGTTACGTGATGCTTGACATTGAGATGAACTTTTAAATGTAAAAGATGTGCGAGTTCCTATTGTCCGTGGTCATGCGTTTATTAACGCGCTTTCTAAAGTGTCGCCGGTTTCGCCTGTATAACAGGTATTACAAGCGATCGTTAACTTGTATACAACGTTCGAACGTTCGAATAGGATCTTTTACAGAAAACATATTTCATATTTTAAATGAAGAAAAAACTAATTTAATATTGAAATCTTAAAGCTTAAATCCTTACAAAACTGTTTTGTAAGGACGTTTGAATAGATTGTTTATAATAGGCCTTGCCTATATTAGGCCTATATGGTCTTGAGCTTTTAAACTGTTGTGGTGTTTTAAAGCTTGTATTCCACTATTTGCATTCACACCTGGGCTGTGTATATAATCTGTCTCTTATACACTATATTATAATTATGAAAATATACAAAAAAAAATAAAAATAGTAAAAATAAAATACGGGATTCAGCAATAAGTTGACTTAATTTTTACTATACATATGGGTGTGTGTATATGTTTGGTGTGGGATGTACATATTACCCTGCACTCCAAATCCAGTAGAATAGCACACATCATTTTCTGTAAATTGGTTGTAACTCTCGGAAATACATGCCGGACGAATGTAATTTGTAAATGGTACTGGCCTAGACAACTTCATTAGCACAAAGTCGTTTAAATCAACCACATCATAAGCCTCATATCCTGGAGAAAAGTAAACTAAGGATACTGGTATGATGAGGTGGTTGGCCGAGAAATTCTGATTTGTATTACTTCCAAACATAACCCTTACATCTGCAAGTGCTCCAAAAACTAATCTGAAAAAAAAATGCCATTTTAAGAATTATTTCTAATACTGTAAAAAAACACATATACAAAATAACGGGGCAGTGACAAATTTTGTTTTTGTCGTCGTGTTTAGACGCATATTAAGACATGCCACATTTTAGTATGACCACTGGAGGCGCACAAAAAAAAAACCTATGTAGGCCTATATCTTGGATTACACTAGAGCAAAAGCGCCTCTTGTAGTCACAGCAGTCAATGCACTTCCTAAACGCGTACAACACTTCTGCAAACGCAACTGTAAATGTTTTATATATATATTATACTCTATTCTAAATCCAAGGGTTTTTACACTGAAATCTTGAATTCTTTTGTTTATTTAATTTCAATCATATTCTATACTTTCCAAATTATAATACAGTTTAAATATTTACAGTCTCAATTTCTAATCAAGTTTATAAAATTCAAACATTAAGTTACAGTTTTACCTCCAAATTTAACACTATTTTTAACGGTACTGTAACTGAATTTCTTGTATTTTAAATTACATTTTAACTGTATTTAAATGTTGTTTGGAGGAATTCTGCTGTGAACCTGCGAGTATCAGAAATCAGGTGATGAAATGTTTAGTTTTAAGAGAATGATTATTTATGTATCGTTTCGTATTTTATGGTTTTATGTGAACGCACAGCAAAGCGACGTACGCCACTAATTTCAATTTTTTTTTAATTTTTATTAATTACAAACGCCACGGTTTTGCTTCATTCAATTCACAGTTGCAAGGTGCATTCACACCGAATCAAAATTTTCAGATCGGAAGGGCTACAGAATTAATCAGAAATTGGATCAGATGTAAGAATAGGGTGATGTGGTTCAGTACATCAGAAACGCAGTCCGAATTTCGGGTCGGAATCATTATAAATGCAGTTTTTCGCAATAGGAATGGGACAATAGTAAAACAGCTTTGGCTTCCGGTTTGAGCATTGCATTTGCATTTCAAGCGTACCGCGAATCAAGCTAATGTACAAGTTGTATAACGAAGGTTGACGTATGCAAGCAAGCTAAGAATACAATCATTTCTTTTAATTAGGTAATTTAGTAATACTCTTATTTTACTCAATTTAACAGAACAGAAAAAAAAAAAACAAACAAACAAGCAGAGGAGCAGGGGCGTAGGCTGGTTTCAACCCGATGAGGTGAAAATTCAGAATTAAGAACTGGGGGTGAGAAAATTAAGGAAGCGGAACTAAATTTATATTCCAATGAAAACTTAATGGTCATTTTTAGTATTTTACCTCAGTGGAACTAAGTTGCTGCTATGCGGAAGAGGATCAGATAACAAAGGAACTTTCCAATAATCATGCGGTTTCATTTGCACAAAACAGAAACAATGGTCATAAACAGTAAAGCATTTAATATACAAATTATACTCAATAGTAGCTACGTATTTCAATTGGCAGAATTTTGTAAGCCATCAAGATTTACATGACATAAGAAAACAAAATGGTACTTACGAAAAGCAATGTGCTGCTGAAATTACCCATAATTTATTGATTAGGGTACATCCACAAATGTATTCATTATATTGGAAGATGAGACCTTGCCATGGCCAGCTACCAGGCAGAGGTTCCGATCCACCGATTATCCTTTTGGTACGTATGCCCGAGTGAAGAGGTCTTTGGCCGCAAGAGAAACCTATACAACTGACACGTATTTTTGAGTATTCGTTGCAAGTGTTATATA